AAAAAAAAAAAAAAAGGTTTGTATTCTTAGCGATTATTTGATCTATACTATTTTTTATTTAATACAATGCTACGTATCATGTATCTCATACTATTTTGTAGTTATGTTACAGTTTGTGACTATCACTGGAGTGAAAATCGCTCATTAGAGCAACGTTTGTCTATGAGATTGGTGCAAAATATGGATTAAATACTATAAATCTTCATTCGGCAAGTGGTGAGTACTACAAAAGATGGATTACCATGTGAAAAATGCCTAAATAATTAAAAAAGAGCACATCATATAGATTATATGTGAAGGTCAAAATTACTGAAAAAAACTTACTCGTCTAACAAGGTCAAGACAAAGATGGCGCTTGATATCTCTGCGGAGATCCATAGGTAAACCTTTGAGAAGTGTCTCTTCATCTACTCCTCTAGTAGCCACCCACTTGTACTGATCATACTTTCGCACTGATTGTCTTAGTTCTTGAGGTAGTTGCCTGTGATGCATCCATTGCTCGGTATCGGTTCTTTTGATCCTCCATTCTTCTAATCGAACGGTTGTCGATTGAAGATATGTCTGCCATCAAAATTTGTGATTAGAATTCAGAGTTAATATTGTAACTTCAATTGATGCACGGTTAGGAAGGGCAATGTGGTCATCAAAGGACTTACTTGCATATTGCCAATGAGCAATGCAAAGAGGACTAGCCCCACAGTTGCTATGATTATTGCAAAAGTGATTTCTCCAACGAATGTGCTTGTTGAAAGATTTTGTCCCAAGGAACTGCACAAATTATTATTAGAGTGATGGCAGATTATTAATGATTATTCTAATAAAGCTCTAACAAATCTTCATATGCAATAAGGATTATTCTCACGTGTGCCCTGAATTTTAGGGTCCATTCTCAGTTTGCTGCCTAAGGCCCTAAACTTTAAAATTTTTCATTTTGCCTATTAATCTTTGAATTAGTCTCACACTCTCACTTAACCCGCTCTGTTAGAACTTTCGTTAAAGAGGGAATTGCGGTAATCTTGTCTTTTTTTTCCATTTGTTGTCAACAAAAATTCTAATAGAAGAGGTTAAGTTAAACTGATTCAAAATTTAAAGAGCAAAGTGAGAGTTTTTAAAGCACATGAGACAAAGTGACGATGATCTCAAAATTCAGGGCGCAGATGAGATTGATTGGCCTATGCAATAATGAAGGAAAAATATATATACCTCAGATTTCTGAGGCCCCACCAAAGACAGTAAAAGTATTTGTTGAAGAAAGTTGCGTTTGTTACATCGTATGTGACTGCATCACCATATATGCCAAATTGATAAAAGCTATTTCTTGGATTGCATAAGGTTGTGGCATTGGTAGTTGGGAACCAAGTCTGCCTATTAAGGCCTTTAATTTTGTGGCAATCAAAGTATCCATATTCACAAAATGGTTTTTCCAAGTCACAAGCACTTCTCCAACATGCCTCTTGTCTTTCTATTGACAGTAGGTACCAGCAAGCTCCCAAAACCTTTTTCAATTAAAAGGAAAAAATAAATGAGTCTAATTTTAGTCTAAGTTGCTTTTATGAACTATAATATTTCTCTCATAAATAGATCAAAATGGGTTATTATTTTCTCACACGAATAAGTTTTCACTGAGAAAGAAAAGCAAGAAAAAGCGGGGGAAAAGCAGAAAAGTTTGACTAACATGGCTTGCCAGCATGTAGAGGATGAGATTATAGGCAGCCCCAGCCCATGCTGTTTCTGTGACAACACCAGTGGCCTTGACAATTTGTGATGACAAGGGAAATATTAGAAACAGCCTCGGAACATACTGAAAGATCAAGATGAAGCGGAGAACGTTTTTCGTGTTCGTCATGGTTGAGCCGCTGAGATTCGGGATAATCATCCAAATCAGCACCTAAAACAAAGACCAAAATTTCATATTTTAGTATAACGAAATATGTCAAAGATAATGACATCACAAGAAGAAGATTACAAACTACCTGAGGAAGAGGCAGAGCAGCAAATAATTCAATCCAGAAGTTTTGGCGCAAATACCTCCTTGCAATCTTTTTAGTGTCGATAACAAGCTCTCCTCTCCCAAACACACGAGAGGAAGGAGCAATATAAGCTGTACGGAACCTAATGAAAATGTGAATAATGTAAAAGATGTCTGCTACTGATCTAACAATAGTGAGGGCTACTTCGAGGCGAATCCCGATATCAATGCACACTTCCTTGCGGACCAACGGCAAGTAAAAGAAGAGAGGGTCCACAAACAGGGAAACCAAGCATGTAAATAAGAAAATCTTGTTCCACCGGCGGATGGCAGGGCCTCGAGGATCGAGTATCTTTCTCTTCACCCT